TTTTTTGCCAACAAATATGTAAATATCATGCACCTTATGGTATTCCAGTTTCTGGTTAAGTCACATTTGGAGAAGCTCTTGGCCAGGGGATAGGGGAAGGAGGAGAAAAGCTTCAAAGTAAATTTTAGTTTAATCATAAACTCACTTTATATACAGTGAGCATCTTTTAAAATCAAATCATAAATGCCTGTAAAGTGAAAGCAGTGTTAAGTAAATAGAAAGCCATACTCACAATAGCCTTGAGCAGAAACCCATGCCAGGAAACAGAGATGACAGATTAGTATAAAGCAAAAACAGCAGCCAACAGAAGAAACTATTTAGTAAACTCATGAACAGAAAAAGTTAAAGCTATGCATTTTTTTCAGACATGCACATTTTTCCTCCTTCTCTGTTCTCATTAGCAGTTTCATCCTGTCACGTTTTCTGTAACGTTTTGGAAAGCTAATAAAAATTATCCATACTGAATCCAAGTATATGAATGCTTTTCCACTTCCACACAAAAACTAAACACTACAGAAGTAGTAAAGAAGCACATATATGAACATCATACCCAAACCAGAATTTCAAAGGAGAGCAGCTGCTGTTATGAAAAGTCATTTTAACACAGAAGTCATTAGTAACAAGGCAGCAGACAATATGCACTCTGTTGGGCTGCGATCAACATGTAGAGATGTGTGTATTTTGGTGGAGTGATTCTGAATTGGTGTTATTTTCACAGGACTTCAATACAAGACAAATATTAAATATCGGATATTTAAATTGGAGACTGCCTTTTTGTTTTGCATTTGTCCAATACCCATTATAGTGGAGTCCTACTCTGTGACTGATGCTCCAAAGTGCTATCACAATACAAAATAACATCATAAACAAAATGACTTCATTGCTTTACCTTTCCATTTTCTTTCAAGAAAGGTTTAAGCACAAAGCCAATACAGACAACTTGTGTGCAATCCAAGAAAAAATTTTAGCTGGAGTTTAAATGCTTCAAAATACCATCTTTAATCACATTCCTGGGTCATGCTCTTGATTGATTATTTCAAAGTTGGATTGCCTTTTTACACTGTGAATAAAGGGGATAAAATAAGCAAATGTGACTCCACTGAGTTCAAACAGAGCTACAGAAATTTACAGTAGCTAAGGACAGGTGGGTTTTGGCCACTTGTTTTTTTCCTTTTCCAGTTTTCCTAACAAATATAACAACAACACCTCTTATAACAACAAACTGCTGTATGCATTTCTCCAGGCAATGAAGTGCTTAGATTCACAAGGTTACTTATGCCTGGTCACTTACAGAACAATGTATTGACTTTGATAAGGAAGGAAAAGATTGTCAAGCAGTGTCCATTTCCCTAGTTTTTAAAGGAAATAAAAACTGAATGCAGATTTTGCCTTGGAAGGCTTGCACTGCATTTGGGTTTGGTTTGGTAGAGACACAAGTGACTACTTACAATAGCTGTTTCCACTAGCATCTCCTCGCTTATATTAATTGCACAGCACCAGCACTGTTGTGGGACTTAACCCCCCCCATATAGATAGATTACATGTTCTTTAGAGCAAGAACCTAACAAAGATACACAGTGCAAAGAATTAAAAGTGGGACAGAGTTTACAGAGTAATTTACCTAAGATAAAAGAATAAGAAAAAGGTAAGTAATAAAGTAATACATATCCCATGGTCATATTCTGTCTTCTACTGAAATCAAGCAGCCTGGGACAGAGATCCTGTTATTTATATGCACATTTTACCCACTCAAGGATCCTGCATACACATGAACCAAAATATTTAACTTTACAGGGATGAAGATGAATCACACAAAAAAGTGTTTAGCCCATTTTTGAAGTCACAACTAACTTCAAAGTCACATTTATGAACCTACTGTTACTAACAAGTTATCTCTATTATTGCTGTACCTGAACAGGAACAACAATATATAAAATTTATTGGGATTTTTTAAAGAGCTTTCTCTTAATTTTCTGCTCATTTCACAGTTTGCCCTATTCAAAGCTATGATTCATAATAGGAAAACATTTCCCTCATGAAGCCACAGACACATAGCAGATATTTTGGGTTTTTTTCTCCCAAATGTTAAGAAATTCTACTGATTCACTGTCACTTATTATAAGATAATTAAAGTTAAACCATCAATATACATAAGAGGGGGCATAATCTTAATTATCACAATAAGCATGTAAGAAACCCCACAAAAATATTTATGGGGTGGTTAAAAAACAAAACCAAAACACAAATTTTCTCCCCAATATTTAATTGATATCTTTCCTCTATTTCAAAAGAAACTAAGGAAAGAAAGCTTTTTTTGCTAGAAATTTCTTGCATGCTTATACAAACATAAGAAAAAAGTCTGTCCCCTTTTTGGGAAGAGATTTTTGTTTTCATTCTGCACTCACAATATAGAACTCAAAACAGTCTCCCCACCTGGGTCTTTGTAAGTAGTAGTTTGCAACAGAAGTGCATAGTTAAGGTAATACGTTTACTGCTTTTTGGGAAGGCAAAAGAACTACTTCAACTTATCAAAAAAAAAATCACACATTTCTGGACTGAACATGAAAAGGATCTTCCAGTTTTCCAGGTTAATTGCATTTATATTGTAAATGTACAGAAATAAGGTTTCCAGTGCGCTCTTGCAGAAAAGTAATGAAAAATCAGATGAAGCATGTGAACCTAAATTGATCTTATCCCTTTTCTCATGTTTCTAAAGGATCATTCTTGTAAGGATAGCTTAAGGATAGCTCAGGATGACCCTCAGCATTTTGATCTAACTTTGAAGTTGGTCCCTGATTTGAATAGGAGAATGGACCAGACATCCAGCCCTCTAGAGGTACCTTCCAACTTAAAGTATTCTGTGAATCTACATTTCCCCTTCTGCTTGTTTAAGAGTAAGTGAAGGCCAATATTCAGAACTGAACAAATTGGCCCATAGGGGTAGTGCCTATATATCACTGCTGGTATGATCAAACTTATACTGAAGCTAGGAATGCAGCTGCTGCATCATGAGCTTCAACTCTGCCTGGGACCCACAACAGGCTGCACAGTTCCATGTAAAAACATGTGCTAGCATGGTTTTGCTACTAGCAGAACCCAAAGCCAGCTCAGATTATGCCTACATGGGCTGTAGTCAGTCCTTTAAGTGCACTGTAAACATACCTTAAATCACTGTCTAAACCAAAGCCTCAAACAGGGACAGATTTAAAATTACAATAAATAAAGCTGCATTTGATTAGACTGAGATTATTTACAATACTTTCCACATCTGAGAATAACTTTCATAAACACATTGCTCAAAAATTATATCACAAAACAAAGTTTTATATGTCAAATGCTGAAAATAACAAAACTCGTGAGGAAAAAAAATTACCTGTCTTATCAATAAATGCTTTCTCTGGGTTCCTAAACTGTATAAAACTGAAGTTTCTTTTTCTGGTACATAAATATAATGGCTAGGTGTGTTTTAAGAAATATCATCAGAAATTTTCAGGAGAATGTTAAATTCAGCAATCTTACAATTAAACATGTGACCTGTCAAATGGAACTCCTAAAAACTCCTCTGTCTGTATTCACTAATCCTTAATTTCAAGCATATTTAGATCCATTCCTTGCCAAGACAGGGTGAAATCCTGACCACTGAAATAAACAGAGATTTTCCTCTTGATTTTCAGTGGGGCCATGATTTGCCTTCAACTCCCACAGCTCTTCTTTCCAGAGAGGAGAGCAAAAAAGATCCTCTTTCTGTGAGACTGACAGCATGCCAATGAACTTGTGTTATTTTTCATGCCAACACCAAAATATCAGTGCTCTGATCTCACTGAGCTAACAAGGCTGGAACGTTTATGAAAGCATGTGAAAGGTGGAGATTCAGCTGACTGACTGACTTAGGCTGCTGTTCCACCTCTGAGGAAGCCCTAAGAGTTCTCAGCCCTTTGCACAGACGTAACGGAATCAATATCAATTGGGTTGCGCTTTCTAAGATTTCCTGCATCAAAAAGATAGTGATAGTGTTAGTAAAAAGGGTTCCACTCAACTGAACACTATTAAGTGGTGCTCCTGTTAAGGATGCCAAGGATTAGACTTCTGTTGAGTCTGATTACCACAAAACATGCAATCAGTATATTCAGATTTTAATCACCCTGAAAAATTTGTTTTTGACTTATAACCAAGACAGCAAAGAATATCTTGGAATCACACAATAGTATAGACCTATTTTAAAATGAATTAAATTCTAAGTTACTTATTAATAGTGTTTTTCTAAATAAGAAGCCTATTAGTAGGTTTACTTTGGTATAGTTTAATCTGAAAAAGAAAAAGATAAGCTAAATTGAATAGACTCTTAAATGAAAATAAACAGCTAATAGAAACTTTCATTGTTTTATCTAAATCAGTTAAAATATAAACACAAAAGGAGAAAGTAACAAGTTAGCAAGGAAATACACTCAAATCTAAAAGGACGTGCACACACATATGACCCTGACCAAAATCATTGCTTTCAAGATAGTTCTAGAGCTTCTGCTCTCAAATATGGGAAGCAGCAAATACAATTTTCAGTGGAAGACTGAAAGTTGTGTTCCCACATTAATTCTGTCACAACTTCTTTATTTTAAATATTAAAATGTACAGTATCTAGGTATACAGAGATTGAAAATACTGCATTGTGTCAAAGGACTGCTCATTTTACTTTTTTAGTTTTGGCTTGCATGGCATCTTGCATTAGAGATACACATTTATATCAGCAATTACTGGGTTTCCACTGGCAAGAAAGGTCTTTACTTCCATGAAGAGCAGTAAACAAAAATACTTTGGGATATTTTACTAAGAAATGGAAAATTAATGTAGCCTTAATTTCCTATAAATGTCTCTATTCTAATTACAGAACTTTAAATAATGCTGAGTTTACTACTGGAACAGATACACTGAAGGGAACAAAATCTATTTGATTCCTTTTCTACAAATAATATTTATATTTATTCTAGACAAACATCTCATTTTACATTTCTTATCGAGAGAAATACAGTTTAAATATAAGGCCATTACAGCAAATATGAAAAGCTATCAGAAATCTCCATCTGTATTATTTCTTCATGATGTAACAAGTAGGAAATATTATGTAAAGCTGAAGGGTAGGATAATAAGTACTTGAACACAAGTTTGACATACATTCCTACTTACATCTTCAGCTTTTGAATCTTGCTCCTGCAAAGATTTCTGTAGTTCTTCAACCTGAGACTGTACTTCTAGAAGTCTCTGATTAATCAGCCTAAGAAATAGATAAAATTTTACTTTTCAGAAACAATGAATTACTGCACGATGAAATCCAAGACTTTTAGTGTCCAGCATTATGAGGCCATCTATGCAAGAGATGCACCACTATTTGTTTATTCAAAATTTACAACATCAGTTACAGTGTACAGCAGTTAAGATTATATCCTGTAATTCTGATGCTCTTCCAGCACAGTGAGAATAGATACATGCTTGGTAAGAATTTATTTCTAGACAGACATGATAGAAATTTTTAATAGTCATTTATACTGCATGAGAGCTACTAGCTTATTTCTCTTATGCAAACAAACCATGACATCTCATCTTCCTTTTCCCTTCTACAAGAAAAAATTACTGAAAATGTTTAAGGTTACTATACTTAACCTCCCCCTTCCATTATCCAGGACATCCAGAATCTCCAGGTTAAGGGAAAAATGCTGGTTTTAATCTTTTAGCAAAGCAAGTTTAATATTAAAGACCATTCTAATGGATGAAGTTAAAGATCTAACTGTGTTATGATCAGACTGGAGTTTTGGTACCAAAAGGTCAGAGGACACATTCCACAAGACACATGCCTATTTCTGCTGACTCTGCAAGATGCATCTGTGCATCTTTCAGTCTGCCTTCCATCGGGAGATCATTATGCATTTATTGAGCATTACCCCTTCCAATTCTTACACAAAAACAGATACCTCTTTCACTTCTCTGCAGCCTTAACACAAAACTACTCTGCTAATTTTTTGAAGCAGTGTAATACTACTAGACCCCAGTACTGTCACATACAGTAGGATCCTGAACTGACAGTGTCCATGATGCTAGGGTCCTTTAGCTGTGGATGGGAGACATCTAATCTGTTTTTGATAGAACATGTGTCCAAATTACTATAGGGGCAAATGTTTGTCCATTGAATGAACACAAACACAGCAATGAAGCAGCAGCTGATACCAATCTCTTTCTAACTCTACAGTCAACACAATTGCATCTAAGATTCTGCCTGCTGACTTTGTCCTCACTGGTCACAGTATTCTGTGGGTGAAGCAAGACAGCTGAAACCTACTGCATACTACAGTAAGAGAAAATTCAGTAGATAGAATCATGGAAAAAAAATTATCACCCTAAACTTTCATAAAATACTCATTTTTTACAAAATCTAGATCATCTTGACAGCAGCTCTAACACCTGCCAATGTATTTTTAAAGAACAAAATAGGAAACAGAAGGGAAGATGGAAAAATGTACAGGGAATGAATAGGTAGTAGGGAAGATAAGGAATTCTTTTTGTTATACTTGCTTTGCAGAAGGAGAATCTGAAGAAATACATGGTTCCTGCTGGGATCCTTTGCATCATTCCACTTGCAATCTATTACAGAATTCTTCAGCCCACACTGGAGGCTGTGGATATTGGAACAGCACTGAAAGACTGAGTAGACTCACAGGCTGGTTGAGCTACTTTTTGATAGGGCTAACCACATTTTTTGACCTAAGGAACTTGGCCCTGACCACAGTCTGCTAAGACAAGTGTACAGCATTGTTAGAAAAGTCACTGGAACAGAGAACAATACTTCCTTACCTATTCTCTGTCTCCAATTCATTCTTCCGTAAATTTGTATCATCAAGTAGACTCTGTAACAAGGCGATCTTTTCATTGTCAGAACCTTCCTGGTTCAGCTTTAACATCTTATTCTCATGCTGAAGGCGAATGAGTTTCTCCCTAAACAAATAAAATCTGCTAGAAGCAGCTTGCCATTCTCTATAAAGAACAAAAGAATCTACCACAGGAGGTGTAAAGATAACATAAAGATCTTTTACCAGTTTTAGAAAGAGAGGAAACAACAACCAACTCTCTAGATACCCAAATTCAAACTTGATTAAAGAACCTGCAATTGTACAAAACACAGCAGAGGAACATTGCCTGAGGGCCCGGATTAGATCTGAGAGCAAGGTCAGACAGAGTGATGGGTAGAACACAGAGCTGGGTATCAAGGCATACAGTCTGTAACCTTAACTATCACTGAACTACTGAATGAACCTGGTCAAGTCACTTCCTTCCTCTTGGTGTGTCCCCACTCAATGAGTATCACTTAACTTGTCTATTTAGACTAAGCCCAATTGACAGCCCATAGACCGAATCCACCTTGTGAAAGAAACACTTTCATCAAGTCTGCAATTCTTCTCTATGGGATGGGGAAAGGAAAATCTTGTCTGAATAGCCAGATACTCCCTTTGCTAGCTTACAGTTGAGAGACCCAGGCTCTGTTGTCACGGAGAAGACAGAAGAGCTGCAGCAGCTGTTCCCATGTGTAGGAGCCCCCTTCCACCAGTGACAGAGGCCTCCAACAGCATTTAGGATCCTGTTCTTGCCTATGCAAATCATTTGAAGGTTCATGCAACAACCCGCTACTTTTGCAATATTGCGTCAAAGCATTACTCTCCTCCACTGCTCTTGAACAAAATTGAAAGGAACTACTTTTGTAGCAATGCACAGCAATGCAGCTGCAAGAGAAACAACTCTCTTCTGTTATTACTTACCTAGCAAGATCTCCTTTTACTACTCTAAAAAGTTTCTCAATCCCATATGCAGCTTTCCAAATGTTGAAATAATTGTATCAACATTTGTAGATGAAAAAATTAACTCCTAAAGAGCTTGCAGATTTCTGAGATGTGAGTGTCCCTTAATGACTTCAATTTCAAGTTACAGTAATACTAGGCTGTAGTGAGAACACCTGCGGGAGACCTGGCGAGGAGTCAGTGACTGGCAGAGTATGTGGTAGCAGCCCCAGCGTGTGAAACTACACACTGACCAGATTCCCGTCAGGGCCAGGCATGCATGTTCTGTTCTGTCAGCAATGTCTAGCTGCTTCCCAGACAGTAGCTACTCAAGGTTAGCACAGCTGAGATAAGGAAATAGCTCTAGTAGATTTAAGGGGCCCTTAGGATACAATGAGTCGAGTCCTGCCTGAGCGTCCGACCCATGCCTCCAGCAGCCTCCCATCAGCAACCCCTCTGCGCGGTTCCTGGGGCTCCCTGCACAGTTTGGAGTGCAAGTCCTTCATTAAATCTATCCCATTTAACCCCTCACGAACCTTGAGTGCCTCTCTCCGCTGGGATCCGACCCTCCCTTGCCCGCCTTGCAGTCACATTTGGCGTAGCCGGCAGGATACTCGCGC